GAGGGGGGTGCTGTAATGGATGGGTGGGCATGCATCCCTATTGCATATGTGTCCCCAAATATAGTCGACATCTTGTCAAAATGCTTACATCCATGCCTACGAAACTTATTTGCACCCGTAACAACCTACAAATTTTGTTACAATATTAACCTCATAACCAATAATATACGAGATTTTATTGTTTATTTAGGACTAATAATTAAATTACTAACCTTGCACAACATGTCCTATCTCTCTTCCTCAACTATAACCAAGTCCGTCTCATGGTCATATCCCACGCCAGTCTCCGATAATAATTTCTTAAACTCAAAATAAATTTTCCTCAAAGCATTAAACTTATTCTGAAGTTGGGTTAAACCAAATTTTCTCCCTGTTTGAACCTTCATTTCTTTTACCAAATTATTCCAACCACTTTAATTATATGTTGTGCCACTACAATTGCCAGCTTTAACTTCTTCCACTATAATATTCATGAATTTTTCAATGAGTGAATCATCTCATAACAATTTTTCATCCTTCGTAACTTCAGCCACTTCTCCTTTAAATGTGAGATAATCACCGCATTGTTCCACATTCTCAACATTCATATCCATCTAACATATTAATAACAACACTATAATTAATAATAACAAAAATAATATATATTGACTAAAACATATAAACTAACCTTTTATTGCTCAAACATTCACTTAGACAACCCACTTAAATATTAATGTTCTAAATTAAACATGGATTGAACTGCAACCACTATGTTCACCCTAGTGAAAAGTCAATCTTAATAAACTACTGTAAGATTCAGTTGTCTCGTCATTGTGAAAAAACAAAGATTTAAACAACAGATTCATGCAAGCAATCTTCAGCAGAATTTACATCATAAAATAAAATGGTGGTTGTGAGGTGCAAGAACATGTTTCTACTTTGACTTAAATCTCTCTCTTTCTTGCCTCATCATAGAAGAAAACTTCATACCCATTTGCCTAAAACGCGCTATTGGAAATGATCAAAATTAATATATATATACACACACACACACACACACACACATATAAATGATTAAATTTTGATAATACAGAAATATTACCTACTTTATCTTGACATGTTCATGGCCTCCCTTAAATGAAACTAACATGTTAGTGGGAAACCATCTTTCAATATTTCAAAAAAAAAAAATTTGTGAGATATGTCTTACATTGTTTATGTCTTAATACAGCCTGTTTAATCTATAAACAAACATATCAATGTCACCAATCATTATATGGAATAGTGTATATATAGGTCTACCTTGTCCTCTCACTCATACAAACTAACAGTTCTAAGAACATATCCCCCCTTTTCGGAAATGGGAAGTTCGGGGAAGCTGAGGCAATGGCCTCAACTTGTTTATACAATAAACAGTTTAGCCTTTGTCAATGAATGAACATCAAAAACATCACAACGACCAAAGAAATTTCAGATACAAAAGCATATACATAGAGAGAAGCTTCACCCACCTCTTGAAAATTAGCTATCTCCATCATGCAATTGATGATATTATTGTGTTCTCATGAAATTAACAAAGCAGTAACAAACTATCACTCAATTAATAGATCTCTAAACAGAGACTTTCAGCACAAAATAATCTCCCTCAATTAGCTCGAAGACACAAACATCTCCCACTTGCAGTGTGTTATCCTTATAAAATGCGTGCCAACCTCTACCAATCCTGGGTTTGTGGTTTTGTTTATAGAATTGCAGTTTGTGGTTTTATTTACAAAACTGTTTTGGGGTGGTTTTGTATGGGAGCTATGTGTTGACATATCACACTATAAGAATTTAGGTTTTTAGTGACGGTCGAATCTGTCCCTAAAAGTCCTAAGACCGTCCCTAATGATCGAAGTCGACCGTCCCTAATAGTTGTGTCCCAAAAGATTTTTAGGGACGGTAAAAGTTGCCCGTCCCTAAAAAGTTCAACCTTTAGGGACGGACTTTCTGTCGCAAATAAGACCGTCCCCGTTTGATTTATTAGGGACGGAGTTACTGTCACAAATAGGCCAATTTATTAGGGACGGACTTATTGTCCCAAATAATACCGTCCCCTTTGATTTATTATTGGGGACTGTATTTACTGTCCCTAATAGTCCTTTTGATTCATTATCGGGGACGACAATTACTGTCCCTAATAGTCGATATTTTAGAGACAGTTTGTTGTCTGTCCCTAATTACAATACTTATTAGACATAGCTTGTACTGTCCCTAATATGATTTACTGTCCCAAATTTGATTTTTTTATTATTATTATTAAATTTGTATTATTATTATTATTTTTTTTTTTTTTGGTTTTTGCTCGGCTGAATTTGTGTTCTAGAAAAACTTATTAAACGAAAACATCCGGAACTAAAAAATACATACATCCACAACATCATTCTAAAAAGAAAAAAATTGATTATCACAATAATAAAGTGCCAACAAACAAGCTCTTAATCTCATGATGAAACTACAAATTCTCCAATTTTGTAAACAACTAAAAGTATGTTCTAGCTGCTTTAACATCAAATGGTTCTAAACATCCTCAAAAATTAAAACATTATTTTAAACTGAATGAAATCATGAAAATGCAGGCCAAAAATACACGTACCAAAATAGTTAGAAATCAGCTAGCTAGCCATCAAAAAGTTCCAAAATATATCTACCAAAATAATTGTCTTTATAGTTCATTCAGGTGCTTGTTGGTGGTTGCTGATACCAGCTTGGCGGCTGTTGATACCAGCTTGGCGGGGTATGCTGCTATTGGGAATGTGATGGAGAATGTTGATATTGGTGGAACCATGGTGGTGGCGGCTGTTGGTGCTGTTGTTGCTGCTCAAGGAGTTGTTGTTGCTGCTGTTGTTGCTGCTCAAGGAGGTGTTGTTGCTACTCAAGTAGCTTCTGAATTGTATCTAATTTCTCCTCTAAACTTGTAACTTTCTCCGTAAGTTTTGCATTTTTTTCTTCAACATTTTTCACCCTTTTTCTAGAAGCCTCTTCAAAAGATGAGGATGAACGCAGGCTTGGAGCTACAAAACCATTTCTGAACCCACGACGATATCCCTTTCTGATACCTAATTGGTTTTCCACTATCTCAACATCATTTACGATAAGACTGGTACCATCAGAATTGTGAGAAACTTCTGAAAACTTCTTTTTCATTGCTTCCTGAAATTAAGATTAATGTAGTGTTAAGCATCAATAAGTCAATAAAAAAGTAATATTGCAATCAATAACTGGACAACTTTTTTCATTCTAAACTAAAGAAAGGTTCTCAGTTCTATGGTCACCTTTTCTTCACTTTTCTGATTTTTTTGCATTTTTTTACTCTACTGATAGTTCCTGCTTATTTTCCTTATTTGCAGTATTCTATTTTCATTTCAATACTGATAGTAGGAAAAAACACAAAATAAATGTGCTATACTGGTATGTTGTTTAGCATTATTGTCTTCAATTTCACAAATAAGAGAATAGGTACTCCATATTAGTCTATGAGAGATATTTTTGTCATTTAATTAGTTTAAGAAATAAACAAATGATGTACATTTTTTCAAATACAAGAGTGGGAATCTGACTTCATTAAAGTAGAATATATTTTATATATCCATGCGAGAAAATTAATATACTTAGTCAAGCATTAATGTATTGATTAATTTATTAATCTTGGCTCCTGATTTATTAGACGACGTGAGTTTATTGTGATCAAGATCTGATAAAAACAGTCTAACTGTAGCTACATTAATAGTGTAATTAACAATAATGAAGCGCGCACACACACCCCAATTCATGGTTGCCAATTGCAAGAAGAACAGTTCAATGGTTTGCCAATAGAGAGGAAAGGACACAGCAGTCTCACAACACAAGACAGCCACTCAATGTGTAATTTTGTTTTGTGCATATATCTCTCTGAAACTTGTCATAAATTGATCACATTTCCATGATTTCACTTGAACTTTTGTTATAATAAGATTTAGTAGAAACACTATACAAGTTTTACACATAAAATTAATAATGTTATATTGAAGTTCTTAAATTTCAAGAGATTTCATAAATTTGTTATTGTGATCCAAGTCAACAAACCCTGCATGCTACTATTTGATAAATTTTATTTTTTTTGTTTCCTGTTTCATGCCGTGGCATGGTGGTTTTCCAGTGGATGGGGAAGCTCTGCATCTCAGTACATATTTTATGTTGCCAACAAACTTTCTACCACAGCTTGTCCTACATTTTTTTGGACAAATTTAATCTCATTAAAATTGCAACATTATAAAAAAATGGACATTCATGTAATTTCATAAAAAAAACACACAATTTTTTTTAATTAAAATTGACCCTAAGAAGCCAAACTTTAGAATAATATCTCGGAAAACATATGCAACTAAATACCTTCAAAATATCATGGTCTAGATTAGCACCATATAAAGGACAAATGGGTGTAAGTGCAAGCAACTAGAGCTGAAAATGAATGGAATTAACTCCCTTCACTTTTTCCAATTCAAGTTTTAAAATAAATAATTCAAACTACAATAAATTTCTCACTCAATATCTACATAGCCAGTCTTCTATCTCCCCCAGCCTCACGGCGCTCGCCGCCGCTTGCCACCGCCACCAATCGCATTTCAGGTTCCTATCAGCGATAGTCTCCCATCTCCTCCAGCCTCATGGCCCTCGCCGCTGCCTCCCATCTCCCCTAGCCTCACGGCCCTCGCAGCTGCCGGCCACCAATTGCATTTCAGGCGAAACTGGTATATTGTTCTTTGTACTAGGGAGATTTTATTTTTTCAGTTTGTGTTCAGTGGATATTGTTTTTTTTTTTTTTTTTTTTTCTTTTTTGTCTTTCAAATTGTTGGTAATTAGCTGCAGATTCTGAAGTTTGGTAGCATAACCCTGAATTCCCCAATTTTGCTTCAGTTTTAGCTTTTTAGCCAGCCCGTGATTCGAATTTATATAAAGTATTATGATATTTTTAGTCTAGGAATATGATTGGAAGCATCTTACTTGATGTTATTGTAATGGCAGACGAGGATAAGATTTTGAATGCAACTTACATTATCAGTGTTGCTCGAAAGCTTGGGTGCTCCATTTTCTTATTGCCTGAGGACATAATTGAGGTAAGAGTATAATCATTTTGAACTTGATCGCTCAGAGGTTCAGTCACTACACAAGTACATCTTGGAAATCACTCCATTTGGTAGGTGTTAGTGTTACAGTGGCACTAATGGTTGTAGTTGTCAAATACCAACTCCCTAGATGATATCAACTTTTAATGGTAGTTACCCAGCCTCTTGAACTTGTTGCCACCCTTCATCTGATTGATTTAACCCATAGTCTTCCTATTGATGGAAACTGGTGTCACTTGGTTAACCTCATCATTCTATCAATGGGTTGGCGAAGGTTTATATTATGCCCATCACTATACATATTAAGTGTTGGTAGAGATGTCAATCTGTCATCTGACATTTCATGGTTGGTTCTAGCCATCACCAGCTAAAATAGAATAATTTTGGTTGTGGTTTCCTAAATATGACCAGGAAGTTTGAGAAATAAGAAATTGGTACATTTCACATTGGATTAATACGTAAATTCAGTGTTAAAGTACACTGTAATTTTGATTGTGTTTGACAGGTGAACCAGAAGATGATCCTCACCCTAACAGCAAGCATCATGTACTGGAGCCTGCAACAAAAAGCTGAGGATTCAGAGTCAACCACACCTACCAAAGACAAGAAAGCACCGGAGGGCGACAAACAATAAAACCTCTCCAAAAAAGTTGAAAACAAGAAACCTCACCGCATGGTCCAAAGGATGACTCTATGTGGAGAATGACCAAGAATTGCAACTCCCAAAATTTTTTCTTCGAGCCCTTACTTTCCTTTCGAGGACAAGAAAAATGAAAATCCAGTTGCAGTTAGTTGATCTGTGAGATGGTACTCCTGTATGGGACAGGGCATGGTCAATTTTGTTCTGATCAACCACAGAAAAAGAGAAGTTCTTGTAAATTTTACCTTGTGTAATTATAGTCTACTGTTCTTATGTATATTCTTTCTCACAATTGTTATATTGATTATATAATGAATAATGCAACTGGGGAGAAATTATCCTCAGTATCATACTCCATGGGAATCTCTTCTTTAATCCACTTTTTTCAGGCGTCTTACACTTGCATAGATTCTTATGAAGGTCGGAACTATGCCAACAAGAAGTAATAGAAAATTAAAACTAGAGAGTTCGATAAACAGTATGCATTTTAGCACTTGCAACGCATATAAGGTCAGGGATTTTTTTAATTTATTTTTATTTTTATTTTTATTTGTCTGTGCAGGAAAGCTAGCAGTTATAATTGGGTCTTGTACAGGTATTTTGCAAAGTAATATCACAGGACACTCATGATTTCTCTTGTTCTCATTTCTCATTTCTGTTTTCAAAGCCTAATTCGCAGATGATGTCGTCTCACAGGAACCCTAATCAAAGCAAAAGACCTAATTCCCATCTGATTAATTACCACTCTTAACGCCCCAATTCATATACATTGTACTGAAACCACTTTACACACGGATTCTTTTAATTTGTAAAGTTTTTAATTTAGATATACCCTTTCTGCATATAAGTATATATACTGTAACTAATTGAGTACACATACACACACACACAATCTTATTATCAAACAAGATGGCAATAATAACACATTAAGAAAAATAAAAAGAAAGTAAAATGGAGGAAAAAACTTACGTAGTTCTGTTTAGCTATCTCGCTTACCCATCCAGTTTCTTCCCTAAAATGCGTGTCCTTGTACATGCGAATAGCGGGACCTTTCTCAAGACTTTCAACTTCCTCATCTTCTTCGTTTTGCCTTTCTTGCCTTTCTTGACTTTCTTTCAGCTGCAACACAAAATGTGATTTAGATGGATAATAAATTGAAATTTTATAATAATTATTATAAATATTACGTACATAAACATTATAGCGTCTGGCGAAAGACATCGATCCAGAAACATGAGGAATCTTATTCTTTGAACGGTTGCCTTTATTTCTGTCACTTATTTTCTACATAGCAATTCAAACAATAATACAAGTTAAGAAACCTAAATAGCTAGTCAATCAATGCATCATAATCAATGATTTCAACTAATTTAAAGCAAGTGGTTAAAAATACGAACTTGAAATTCTGGTGACGTCCACTAATCGCACATTTTTCCCCAAACATCAATATCAATAATACCATAAGGATGCAAGCGTGCATTCTAAATTGGAAGATGCTTGTCAAAATGATTCTTCAATTTATATCTATATTTCCTCAAGTGTTCGGACATTTCCTTAGTTACTCGCTTGAAATCAGTTTCATTGTCATGTGCATCCACTCCAAAGGTCACCTTTATAATGAACATTTAATTTAAGGTAAAAAGAGCACAATAATTCACAAAACAAATAGCATTGAAAATATGAAAAATAACTAACAAGTCAACAAAACAAGTATTTTAAGAGAGTGGTATCTCACTTTCTTAAACTAGAGTTCTTCCCTGGACCCCTCATATATGTGATTGATATCTTTATCTTTTATTGTGTAACAGTAAAGAACCCTTATAATACACTGAAAATGATTAACGGAGAAAATTTAAATGCAAGGGTGTGCAGAGTACGCTAAAACTGTCCCTTAATATTACCCTCTTCTGATTCACCTTAAAAACAAATTATGTTGTAGCGATGTATTAGTAAAATAAGCAATGACAATAAAATCTTTTTAACAAAGTTGAGAACATGTTATAACCACGTGTTCTTGATCACACATATAGACTAGTAATTAAGTCATATCCCTGAGGTGCCTCAATGCCTTACATATATCGGCCATATCAAAAGTAGTAAGCCCAGAATCAGCATATCGAAGCATAGCATCAACTGCATTGTCCTGGTCAATTCTTCCCCAACCACCACTTGTCTGCCACATCCCGTTAACAACTCAGCAGATGTTCAATGAATCTTTTCCATTCTTAACAACAGTCCACCGTTTATCTTCAGTTACCGCACATCGGATTGGTCTTAAATGCAGTTTTTGTATCATAGTCCCCCTTTCAGATTTTATTTTGATTGAATTGAGGGTAAATTTGCTAAAAGATTGGTTCAGGAACTCTGCCATTGAGAGATGGAAGAGCTAGAATATAGATAGAGAGAGAGAGAAAGAGAGAGAGAAGGGAAATTAAGTCCTATAGGCTAGTATGTATGCATATGTAGATATATAGAGAGAGAGCTTAAGTCCTCAAGGGTGGGTTGTTACACACTTATGTTATGAACAAATAGTAGAAAGAAAAATAGTGACTGGTCCAGCCTATCTGCTTCCAATTCCGTGTCTCAGCCCACCACCATTTTCTTTCTTTTATTACTGTATTATTGTTTGAGAATCTTGTTTAAATGCATCAAGTGTTTTTGTATCCTTGTGGTACCAAACTTCAGCTTGACTAAAATACCGTAAAGGGTTGTTACACACTTGTGTTATTGAACAAATAGTAGAAAGAAAAATAGTGATTAATGTTACTGATTGCAACCTTAGAAGTAGCAAAATGGGCGTTCATTGAACTTTAAGGGCAACACGACTGAACCCAATTAACTATTTAGTCTACTCTAATCAAGTTTTTAGTTCTTGAAATATACTGTATAAAACAAAAAGTACATGTCTTGATAAATTCATTCCAAATTAGATTTTCTCTTCAATTAAACAGAGGGTGAATATGCAATTTAGGAAATTCCAATTCCAGATTTATGTTTAAAAGAAAAAAAAAAAACTCCTAAAATCAAATACCCATTAATTCCACTTTGTGACATGTAATGGAGATTTTCTCCTCTTGTAATTGTTCCTCTTTTGAATATTTATAAAAAACAAATACCCATTTAAGAAAAAAAAAAAAAAAAAGATATAGAATATAAAAGAACTCATTACCTTAAAATGGTCATAGCAGACCTGTCTCTCATAATCTGGAATTTCCCTCCACGTTTTATATTTCAATAATGCTTCTTTATCTCTCACATGGATGCCAACCTCAGCCGTCCATAAATTGTGATTTTTGCCAACAAGTTTAATATAACCCGTCCCAAACTCTACCGGAATTCTATTTTATAAAATAATTAATTAAATATATTCAAAGGCACATATAATTTTTTTTTTTCTTTGGGGGCTTCAACGACCAACCTCTTGTTCTTAAACATGTAGGGAAAATATCAATCAATCAATCAATCTCACCATTTGATGATAATATAAAATTAAATATTTCTCTCTTACTGTATGGTGCCTATATTTTCTTTTTCCTGCGTACTTTCTATAATAATAACAAGGGAAATTTTTTATAAAGACAACATCAATTTTGAAAACTGCATAATCTCTTAAAACCAGAAACAGCTAATTCATAATAGAAGTGCAAAAATTAAAACTAAAGGGATACATTATTAATGCATAATAGTAGTACACATGCACTTATGTGGTGAGTCCATTAAAATGGCATTTTTCCATTGAGCTAGGCTTGTGTTGTACGTCCTATGACTAGAACAAAAAAGATGGAGTTTCAATAATTCATCGCTCCTCAGCAAAAAATAAAAAAGCCACATAAAATAAAAAATAAAAATTGGAACCAGCAGAAAATCAATAATTCATCGCTCCTCAGCAAAATCAAATCCACTGTAATAAAAGATGGAGTTTCAATAACAACTTTTTTCCAAGATTGGGTCACGGCATATCCATCCATCACCATTAATATTACGATGACTCAGCACACAAAGGCCTCCTCTAAACACCCTAATTCTATTGGAAACTTGTAATGTAATATGTGATTTCAACTAGATATTTTTTTTGAACAAATGTTCATCAACTGTCAATCAAATTACATGGTGTAAGTTCACATGGATAATTAAAACCTTGGGATTTCATTCTAAACTCAAAATAGCCTACAGGTTAATATAATTTCTCAGAAAAGATGGAAGACCATGTAATTATGGTAAATCATTATACTTTGAAAAAAAATATTTTCTTATAACAGTACCATGTACCCACACTACGATTATTATTTTGGTTATGAGAGAGAAGCTTTGTCTGATTTTGTGCGAATTTTCGTCACAAGAACAAGAAGGGAAATTAGGGTTTAAAGTACTTACAACTTACAAAAGCCCAACCCTTCAACCACCACTATCCAAACCTCCGATGCACCACCAATCAACCACCAACGCACCACCCGCACCACCAATCGACCACAGCCATCGTGCTCTTCCCTAAGCCACACCTCGCACACCACCAAGACCTGATGTCGTGGGTAAGAAAGAAGAAAGGAATCACGAAATGAAATATAACCTAAACCCAAAACCTGCTATATTAGGGAAAAATAATAATAAATAAAATAATAACAATTAAAAGAAGGATGCTTATTGGTTCAGATGCTTATTGAGAAATTCCAAGGATATACCGATCTGAGATATTTAGAACCAAGATCGAAACAAAAGAAGGAAAAAAGAATTAAACCACCATGCAAACATCTTAGACATCAATTTGCCAACAATCATTCCAACTTCGGAATACAAATTCAATCAATATTCGATTCACAGCTAAAGACACTTTAATCATCACCAAGAAGATTAGCACATCTAACACTTACAACACCGAAATCCATAAGAAGAATATTCAAAAATGAAAAAGAAGGGTTTGTGAGAAGATAATGGACTTGTTGATGGACGGACTTTGCTGCCTCTCAATTGAATTGAATTAGAGCGATTGGGGAAGAACAAACCAGTTTGAGTGAGAGGACGGAAGGAGAAAATCGACCTAGGGCATAAGAAATTTAGCAGAGTGATCCCTCATGGATTACATATATAGATCTATACTTAATTGAAAAGAAAGAGATCGGTTGGGGAAGAACAAACCAGTTTGAGAGAGAGGACGGAAGAAGAAATCGAGATAGGGCCGGCTAAGAAAAACCTTCAGACAAATCGAATAAGAAATATATATATAGATATATACTTAACTTGACAAAAACTACGGCGTTTTTATATATGTACAGTTAATTAAGGACGGTAACTTACCGTCCCAAAAGCGTATTTGATAATTTTTTATTAAAACAATATAATTTCACTTTAAATATCCTTTTGGGACGGTAACATTACCGTCC